TATATTAAACATACCTAGACTAGGCATAGGCCCATATAAGATTCTGAAGATATGGTAGCCTTGGAAAATATCAAAGTTTTTATGGTTTGACGGTATTGTGCTCACTGCTCTAGAATACATTCTTTTAAATGTCTGTGTAAAAAACAACAATTTTTTCCTATTGAAGATAATAATTTATTTTGAGAAATATTGATAATATTTATAAGAACAATCAACAATGATTAAATGAACATTAATTCAAATAAATCATTGACTTCTGCTGTCTTCATTTGTTTCAAAAACACAAATTTCTGTACAATTTAAAAGGGCAAAAAAAAAGGGTTAAAAAAGGAAATAAAAAATCTTATATAAAATATGGTACGGTAAAGCAGAAAATTTTGGCAGTTTTAAAACCTTGACTTTTCCAGACCTCGGTATACCTTGAAAACAGTTATAGTCTAATGCCTAACCTAGAATACTTATTGTGTATACACACGCACGCACGCACGCACGCACACACACACACACACGCACACGCGCACGCGCACACACAACACAAAAACTTCAAACGAGGGTTGGAAAATGGAAACAGCTGGAAAATATTGTGAACAGCTTGCAGCTTTTAGACCACAGATGAAGCCATTACAAAGTAAAGTAATAAAATAATAAGTAAAGAGCCATCCAACAGATATCAATATTTAAGCACTACTAGATCAAGTTACATCATTAACCTATGACCTCATGAATGCAGAAACCAATACGCATTCATAAACAATTGCTCCTTGCAAATAATAGACACAAAACAAACATCTGGCTTAATACAAACTTTTGTTCAGCTTGTTTATTTGCCAGCTGGTTTACTCTAAACAACCAATAAGGAGCTTCTGTTTCATTTAAAAGCTAAAGCAGATTTCTCAAGCCATTGTGAATATTCATTAGATTGTGTTTATTTAACATCTTAGCCTATTGATATTCTGGTTTGTGATGATGATGTCATTAGCATTTATATCTCATTTACATAAGCAACCCAACCGTCAAACGGCTGCTATTATGATTATGTAATAGACTCGTTTAAATATGAGAGTTTACCAAAATCTGCTGCTAGAAAATAACTTAATTCTAAACTGCTTCTATGCCAAGTTGTGATGCTCCGGGTAGACTAATGTTATTTAAAAACGATCTTTCCAAGATGACCACAGGTGAACAGGAGAGCAGGTGCTTCTCAAGTTCAAAACAATACCATGAAACTGCAAACCATCTCAGCAGTATGCAACTCTAGCTGGAGGGCCACATGCAAGGCAGGCAAGTCCTGTGATTATGTACATGTCCTTTCCTCCCCTAAATAGGCATCTATGAGCGTAGTGTGAGAGACGCGATATGTGGGCGTTATATAGGACAGCTATCAAACAATGAGCTGAAGTGAATCATCATGCTCTTGCTCTCTCTCTAGGGGCAATATCAGACACATCACACCCTGGAAAGCCGTGCCCAGGAACTCACTGTACCAACACACAAGAGAGAAAGAGAGTTATGGCCACTGCTCTAATGTTTCTGGTTAATTCATCCTAACACATGTAACTGCTTAATATATATATATATATATATATATATATATATATATATATATATATATATATATATATATATATATATATATATATATATATATATATATATATATATATAGTTGAAGTCAGAATTATTAGCCACCCTGTTAATATTTTTCCCCCAATTTCTGTTTAACGGAGAGAAGATTGTTGCCATGATGACAGTTATTAATATTTACTAGATGTTTTTCAAGACACTTCTATACAGCTTAAAGTGACATTTAAAGGCTTTACTAGGTTAGGCAGGTTAGGGTAATTAGGCAAGTTATTGTATAACGATAGTTTCTTCTGTATTTCAAACGTTCTGTACTGACTAACGAAAAAATATATAGCTTAAAGAGGCTAATAATTTTAACCCTTTTAAAAAACTAAAAACTGCTTTTATTCTAGCCGAAATAAAACAAATAAGACTTTCTCCAGAAGAAAAAAACATTATCAGACATACTGTGAAAATTTCCTTGCTCTGTTAAACATCATTTGGGAAACATTTTAAAAAAATTTAATTCAATGGGGGGCTACTAATTCTGACTTTAACTGTGTATGCATATATGTGTATATATGCATGTGTGTGTGTGTGTATAAATATATATATATACACATACACACTTTAAAATGGTGTGCAGTACTGTACTTTAAGACATAAAATCTTGGATCATATTGATCATATCTATTGCCATTTTAAACAAATAACAAAAATTGGTAGAACTTATCAAAATGATTGCTCTACAAATTCATATACACATTCAATTACAGGCAATGTATAAATATTTCCCATATTTTTTTTCTATTCATACAAATAACAACTATAGCATTTTTATCTAAGTGTTATATTCTCCATACTTCATGTTACTTTATTTATTTATCTTAATAAAGCCACTGAATGCAGTCTTGCACCTTTGTCTTTTGTCGGAATTTCTGTAATGCTGCATTCTTTCTTTAAACAAGAAACTTATATTAAAAAAACTATACTATTAATCTTCAAAAAATAAAAAGGTGAAAAGGTAGTATTAATCCAGACCACAAAGCCTAAACCAGTGGTTTAGGAGGGATGAATACCTTGAGATTTGTTAACAGTAGTTTCAAACATTGTTGTTTGAAAAAAAAGAAAAAAAAGAAAGAAAAACAAACAAAACAATAATGCAGGGATATTATTAATAAATTATTAATACTTTGAAATGAAAAGTAAAGTAAAATAAAATATAAGTATTAGATATTTTTCAATCAGAAGCGCCAACTAAATAATTGTCCCTAGTGAAATGTTTTGCAGACAGATCAATATAAAGGATGATATTTTCATTAAGGAAAAAAATATAAATAAATCAAAAGAAAACCTGAACTAAAGCAGAACTCTAAAATGAAAATGTTTCTTTGTGAATGGCAGATAACCTCACCTTTATGCAGGAAGTCAAGTCACCTAATTAGTGAGTGTAATTAGCCCTAAGACACTGGATTAGCCACCTGCTAACATACCACTAAGCTAGAGGACTAGATTAGCCTTCTGTTCGGCTTGCACATTAACTACAGAGGGACTATTCTAGCACACTACGAATGCTAGCTATTCTGTAGCTAATATATATATGCACACTACTATTCACAGGTGTGAGGACAGGAAGATTAAAAAGAAATTATGCAATTAAAAATAAAGGTTCTTCTCTAGCAACGACGGTTTAATGAATTAATTTTAACAGCCATTGTACCTTATTGTTGCAAAGGTTAAAAAAAAAAATCTTTAAATTTGAAAATGTTCTTTACACTAGGGCTGCATGATCTTGGACAAATCTAACATTATATTATATTTTAAATATAAATTCAATATTTTTTACTTTGCAAAATATTTTGCGATATGCATACAATTTCAACAGATGACATGTGTTGTGAGTATTTTCATGCACATGTTTAATCAGAGATTGGTGAATTAAAGTTTAATATTTGCATTTCCATAAAACCTAATAAAAAAATCTATAAATTTTTTTGGGTTCCCTAACACATTTTTTATTGTGGTCTGTACTATTTGCAGTGTATTTCTGCATTTGCATGTGTTGTGAGTATTTTCATGCATAACAATATATAAATATAATCAAGAAGAAGATACAATTAAAATAAAGTGTTTTATCATTTCCTGAGTTTAACAATATTCAAGTACAGTAACTGAATTATAAAAATAAAAGTATTTTAATAAAATTAATCATAGTTATGATCAGAAATTGTACAATTTCTTTTACCTGAATGCTTTTAAAGTTATTATACAATTACAATGCAAATGATAACTTATATATATAAAAAAAAACTCAACGTTGCATATTGTTGATAAATATTGTGCAGGCCTACTTTGCACTATAAAAAGGAAAAACTTTCTATAAAAGGGAACCAAAAAAGGTTCTCCCATTGTATGGCATTGCTGTGAATACCCCCATTTGATTCTTCCTGGTACATTTTTTTTGTGATAGCATACTTTCAGCAACGACATAAAATTTATTCGATGTGATAAACACTTTTATAACACTGCAAGGATTTCTTAACAGGATTAGTCATTACAGAATCCAGCAAAAATCCAGCACTGCAGCTTTCACAAAAAAACATGAGATATTTTAAAATATAGTAATATTGTTATCGGTCAAATAAATGCAGCCTTGGCATACATGCAAAACTTCCAAATATTTTTTAAAATCTTATGTATTTCATACTTGCATATTAGATTTGCTAAAATGTATCAGGCTAGTGTCATGCTAAAATAGACTTTGGTGGAGGACTGTCATCTTGCCACATAGCTTGGATTCATGTCAAGATAATAATGTGCCTACTTCTGCTAAGTGGGCAACTAATTTTCTCCCTTCACAAAACTGTTGCTGCAAAAAATATCTGATGTATCCATTAACTCACATTTTCCAGCACCGGTGCTCTAGGGAATGCTGAGTTTTTGTTAAATAAATAAACGACGCCATAAAAACACACAGACAGTTCACTGAATGATTCTATCACGATTGTATTAAATGTAAACACACACAAAGCTCTGGCCTAAACGGAAAGTTACACTGTTTTGCAGGGTATTCCCCACATAATAAGAAAGCTATTCTAAGATTACAGTCCCTGTTAACACTTATTTGCAAGGTAGGCCCTATAAACCACAAATGTAGGCGTTTGAAAGAGAGAGAGACCTAGACTTGCATACACACAAACACATTAACACTCCAGGCCAGGATTATTTTGTTACACAATACAGGCCCAGGACTCACCTGCTCGCAGAATGAAAACAAACACGAGCTAGTAAACATTCAAAATCGTAGTTGTATATATATTATCCCTCATATGACATAATAATGGAGCCGTTTTGAATTTGTTTGGGTGTGAAGGCCTCTGACAGGTGCAGGCAGGTGAGCAACACACACTCGTTCAAAAACACACACAGTCACTCACCCGCAGGGCGGCCAGGTCGATGTCATCCAGACTCCGCGTAGGTGCGTTTTCTGACATTTTCACAACGATTTCTGAAGACTATTGAAAAGACGTCCTCGAAGACTGCTAATGTTATTTTTTAATCACAATGTTTATTTCAAGGGGCAGTTCAGAAAAACTTGCGAGGTCCCCGCTGAAACATTTGGCCGCGACCAGCTCAACCGACAACAGCTGCAGGATTTCGGACCATAAAATGTTTGTTTCTTCTTCTTTACGGGAGAACAAACGGCTCTTTTAAGGCCAAAGCGATCCGATTGTGAAGGCGAGATTCTGCAGTTATCGATGATAAAGGCTGTGGTTGAGCCTATAATCCTAAAGATTGCATGGCAACATTTACACGAGCTCGAATCAGATGTGCCACACTGCGCTCCGTCTCTACACTCATTTTGGCAGCACTGCGTAAGTTAAGCCGAGCCTACCTCAGTCAAACAGTAAGATTAGTCAATACACGAGGGGTAGATATGCAGGTAATCGCGAAAATATGTAAATACACAGGCAGAACTTCACGATCCTAAACAGCGGCGCTCGTGATCTCCTCGTCAATCTGCCACAGCCGTCATGTTACGGCGCAACCCACGCACACGCCTTAAACAGGATTTCTGCCTGGATTTCGATGTCCCCGCTCGGCTCTGTTAATGTCCACAGTTTTTAAAAGTCAATACAGCGTGTATTTAAATGAAATACACGGCCCCGGTGTCAAAAACAAGAAGTGTTTACGTCGAATAAAATTCCGCCCGCCTGGCAAACTTTCATTCCCTCCTGCCGACAGTCAGCGGCACCTCCCGGTTGTGCGCAAAACCTCCGCCGATTTGTTGGGAGAGAAAGAGAGGGGGAAGAACGAAAAACCATAAACAGTCCCTTGTTTTCAGCCCGGACCCTTAATAGCAAGCAGCAGCGACTCGTCACGATGCATACATAATATTCTGATAATTCAATCACTCGCTAATGAGTCGCCTCAGGAAGCCAACTTTGTTTTTTCTGCAGTGAGGTCGTATGTTTTGATTTGTCCGACTGAACTTCTCTCTCCGGTCTTGGTATGATCCTGTTCGTACTTCTGCTGTCTGTGGTCGGGCTGTGACGTCCCTCCTCTGCAAGAAAACACAACACTGTTTTCCAGGCACTTTCCTTTTCTCCCCCTCCCTCCTCTGCGCTTCTCACTCCCGTCTTCCTGGACTGGAGAAGCGCTACGGTGCTGCCACTGGGACAAACTACCTGAGGAAAGCTGCCTACGCTGGAGACAGGTGACACCGGGATGATCCTGCCCAAAATATTGCTGTGCAGTCACACACGTTGTGTTTTTAGCATTTTGAAGACTTAACATTTATCTTGACATTATTACATTCAGTGGTGTAAAGTAACAAATTCCAAATAGGCTACTCAAACTGCTTAACTTTACATTATATTGCATTCAGTGGTGTAAAGTTACATCCTACAAATACTCAAATTACTGTAAATGAGTAGTTTTTCTCAGGAATTGTAATTTACTAGGTAGTTTTTAAAATGCGCACTTTACCTTTCCCCTGAGTACATTGTTAGTGCTGTATTGGTACTTTTACTCCACTACTTTCCTTCAACCTGCAGTCACTTTATTTTTTCCTGTCTATGGAGATTAGAAAAATCAGTTTAGTAATTCCTGTACGATCAAATCACACATAGAAGGTAAATCGCATCATAATGAACCACCTCAAGACATGGGCAATTTATAATTGCAGCAAACTGTTTGGAAGCATTAAGTGTCCAAGAAGATGTCAAAAATATTTACACGCGTTGACCCAGAGACTGTTTATATGTTTATCACTAATGAGAAGATGACAGATGTTTACTGTATGATGACTGAAATGGCATTAAACACCCAACAGGCACAAGACATCAACATGATGTTAAATTGACGTTTTACCCCAATGTTTTTTTTTTTTCGTTTTGTTTGAAAATGAAAATCAGGTTGACATCAGAACTCAATGTCAGGCCGATGACATCAATGTCCAACATCCAACCTAAAAGCAACCAAATATCAACGTCTAATGATGTTACAGCTTTACGTTGTGTGGACGTTACCACTATGATGTCTATCAGATTTTAGTTGCCATACCTGATGAATGTCAGTATTTGATGTCAATATGACGTTGGTTTAAGATGTTGGCTAAACGTTGGATTTTGTTCACTTCCCAAAACAACCTAAAATTGACCAAATATCAACATCATTTGACACTGTTATTTGACATCAAAATAATGTTGTCCTTGGATGCTGGCTAGTCATTGAATTTTGGTCACCTGACAACCTAAATCAAAGCTAATATTAACATCTTATGATGTTGTAAGCCTGCTGGGTAATGATAACTAAATCCACTACAGAATGTTACGTTTACACACAAACCACAAATTACTAGTAAACACATTAGCTTTTTACAGCATAAAACCCACTACTCTTTACTCCTGAGTACTTTTGAGAGGGCTACTTTTTACTCATACTTTAAGTAATATTTATAACAGATACCTTAACTCTACTTGCAATACATCTTTAAGCAAGTAAGTCTTTTTAAGTATGACTTTTCAGTACTCTTTCCACCACTATTTGCATTTTAAAAAATTTTGCAAAACTCAAACTTTTGGTGTTCTTTAATGTTTTAACAGTAATCAAAACTGGTTCTTAGCACTATTCAAAATATTTTCTTCTATGTTCAGCACAACAGAATCATACAGGGGTAAATTAATACAGAAATATCTTTATAGTGAAGTATTACTTTAAAGTGATAATTTTTCATCAAACAAAGCGTTTTCTCCTCATTTACTTGCTTCTTAAATTATCATTTGCCTCTACGTTTTGGATTTTGCTGCACATTTAGTTTTGTTTGCTCTGTAAAGTGACCTTGAGTGTAGTAGTAAAGCTGCTGTATAAATAATTAAACATTGTTGGCTGGGTCTCACAAGGTAGGGGATTTCAGGCTTTACTACCTTTGAGGAACCATTTTGGTCCTCACAATGTTGGCAAAACTTCACACACACAGCAACTTAATTATAGAATATATATTTATTTATTAAGTCAGAGAACAGATGAACGAAAAAAATATTGATTGCTCAGTTGCTTACAAACAGCCATGATATGTCATTTATAGCCATTGAACCAAAACTGCATGTCATACATTTAGAAAAACAGTCTTTTGTAGTTTAGTTCATAAACCTTTAGTCAGGGTAGCACATGTCTGACGGTAATGAAAACCAGGTTGCGAGAGTTAGAAGTGTGTTCATTATATAGTACTGTTGTTTAACAACATATCAACTGCTTTAAACACTTTCAGCAGACTGAAACTTCATAAAACAGTTATTTTCAGAAATCACAGCTCATCTTTCACAGCCTCGTTTTTATCTGAAGAAAGGTTCATGTCATCGACCCTATCTACACCAGGGGTCCGTTCTTTGTACCTCGCATAAATGATCTAAGATGATTTGGCAGATCTTGGATCTGTTAATCTTGATAACTGATCTCTGGTTAATTTGCTTTTTTAAAAAGTGCAAATAAGCAAAATTACATAAAATTCGTAGCAAACGGTTTGATAAATATGATACACAATAACTTTGCCCCTTTGTTGTGGGCTGCATGCTCAGATTAGTAGGCCTATTCAAAGTGTCTTAATAACTGGCTGTTTAAATTAATTTTGCATCAAAAAAGCATTTGATATTGGTAAAGGTATCAACATTGGTGAAGCATCAAATTACCTGCATAGCTGTCAAAATGTGCATGATTGCATGAATTGTTCCTTACCTTAAAAAAAGTCCATATTAATTAATGTTCTCTTCAACCCCTTGGGGAGACAACACCTCCGTGACAGTTTTTGTACTTTTATTTTGAAGTATAGATTGCATACATTTTATTTGTAATTTCTAAAAAACGTATTTTTTTATTATAAATTTATCTGTTTTCCCTAGTATTTGTAATATATAGGTTACTACTGTCAAAAAATATTAGAATTCGGTAAATACTTTCAGTATTACCTTCGCTCAAAATGACCTGATCTAATCCTGTTTATATAAAGTAAGCTGCTGCTCCTGAGCAGGTTTGAGCTACCAGAACTGTTGCCATGACAACAACTCTCGGATGAGTTTTGAAGAACGAAACCATCCTGGATCGTGTCAAATCGTCAATAATCAAATCCAGCTAATTGAGTAAATCACGTACGAAGAACAGACCCTAGATGTCCAGAAGTAGTAAAAACACATAGTGTTAGCATAGATTAATTTAAGTATTAGTCTGTAAGTTCTATATGCTTTCTTAAAAAAAGCAATTCTATTTACATTAGAAGTATAAAATGTGCAAAAAAAAAAGAGCAGATATGTTAGTTTGTCTGAACAGGTGTGGAGTGTTTTGTTGTTAAAAAGCATAATTGTCAGTTCTTAAAGGTGATTGCTTGACGTGATTGGAATGTTAGAGTATATTAATGATCATATCTCTAGTGGTCAAACCCTAAAACATTCTCTTCTAGTGCAGTGCAAGTCATCTATAGCATTCCACAGTACACGGGCAGATTAGTGATGATCACTTATTAAGTGGGGCATTGATAAATTTAGCTTTGCCTTTCTGGCCTCCAGTGTGCTTCTCCACTAGTGTCGAAACCCCTTCCGAAAAACCCAAAGTGGAATCTTCTGGGCTGCTGACATTATTGCATAACAATAATTTCTCCTGGTTGTCATGGAGATTGGGAAGGGGGGCTGATAAATGTTGAGCTGAGACTCCCCCTGAATATCTCACCATGTTTGATGCCCCACCTGATCCCTGCTCCGTAACACTCCTCCCTACCTGCTTTTTTAAAAAGACAAAACCCGCGCACACACATAAATTACGTAATTTTCGTGACCAAGTACACTGGTACTTTTCTCTCCTCTCTAACCTCCATCCCTGTTTTTAACGGTTTGACTATTTTTTCATTCTCTTCTCGATCTCTTCTTCTTTTCGTTCTCTCTATCTCTCCTCTCAGCAGCCAAGACCAAGTCAGCTCTTTATACCCGTCACCATAACAACCACAAATGTTCTGACAGATTTGCTGCCACTGCATTGAGAGGTGTAGTGCACGCAAGAACGAAATAAAGAGAGAGGGAAGAGAAGGTAAAGCAACGCTAACCGCCCACACACATTCACAACAATAAATGTACGTTCTGTTCCTCGGCCATCAAAAAAACTCTCTCTCTCTCTCTCTTTTTCACCTCGTTCGCTTTTCTCACTGTTCCTCGTTCTCATTCCACCCTCAATATGCAGCACTCGGCCATCTTAAACGCTCAGATCAGGACTTTCACGGACATAATGGCCATTTGGATACAATTTCACAGTCATTTCATTGCATTTTCATACATTAGCAACTGCACTGTTTGATTCTCCTGGTATAAATGCATTTTAGATTCTCACACATGAACATCATGTGTTTCTTCTACTGTGTTTGCCTTAGTGTTCAGAGCGAATCGTACATTACTTTAGTCCAAACCAAATAGGATGATATTTTCTCATCTCTACTTCCTCGTTCTCATTCTACCCTCCATATGCAACTTTCAGCCATCTTAAATACTCAGATCACGACTTTTGTGGCTGTAATGGTGTTTAGGGAGAACATCAAACCCAGCAAACAATTTCATGTTTAATAGACATCTAATAGACATCTAAAAGTAGACAAAAAATAGCCCAAAACTAGACTAGTCCTCAAATAGACAGATTTGACATACTTTATATGTGTAGCCATTCTTTTCTGTTTATTTGATGACTAGTCTAGTTTTGGCCTATTCTTAGACATCTATTAATATTTCACTGACAGCCCAAATTAAGCCTTGTTTTAGCCAAGACGACAATGTTTAGACATCTATTAGTCAACTTTTAAAAACAAAAAATGCTTGCTGGAAAGTCATTTGGCGGCATTGTGATGTATAAGCAACTGCACTGTTTGATTCTCCTGGTATGAAGGCTTTATAAATTTCTCACACATGATCATCATGTGTTCCTTCTTCTGTGGTTGCGTTAATCGTACATTCGTTTAGTCTAAACCAAAATTGACAAAACAGTGGTGGTCATTACCACAGCATCTCACTGGGTTAGGAGAAGTACAATATTTTGAAATTTGGATTTTCTCTTTTTCACCTTATTTGCTCATCTCTCCTTTCTTATTCTCATTCCATCCTTCATATGCAACTTTCGGCCATCTAAAATACTCAGATCACGACTTATGTGGTTGTAATGGGTATTTGGGGAGAACATCAAGGTCGTTTGGCACTGCACTGCTCATTATCATGTTATTAATGTTTA